AGTTTTTTTTCCCATAAATTATAACCTTATATATATACTTATAATCCTTTTTAAAATTACATAAACTCATGGTTCAAAAAAATTAAGTATAAATTTGAATATAGATTCTTTTTATCTTAAGTATGTTATATTGTTATATTCATTACATTTGAGAGTTTTTACATATTCAAGAATATATTTTGTTTATAATAATAAAAATGAGGTTGGAATCTATAAATTTGTTATAACTTTAAATTTACTATATTGTTTGACTCGTCATATGAAATATTATTTATTGTGAATTTCATGAATTTTTACATTTTTGTCCTTAAAATGTGTCTTATTATGTTAAGGGGTGAGGCATTTATAAATTCCTCTTAACCTTATTTTCAAGCAATGAGACTTTTTGGTGGAAGAAATAGTTATTGTCCAATCGGAAGCTAAGTGTATAGAGATCTTGTTTGTCCTAAGTAGGGATGAGAGTAGGCCATATTTTAATTAGGAACCTATGACTTGACCTATTTAATAAAAAGGTCAAGTTTAAACTAAAAAAAAAAAAACCTATTTTTTAAAACTTACTGGACTTAAGCTTATTAAAAAAAGTTGTTAAGTCTAATAGATCAATCTATTTATTTTTTATATAATAACAAATTATATACATATACATATAATATTATTAATAATATAATTAAATAAATAAATTTATAATATAAAACCAAATTAACAATATTTTTTATATTTCCATTACACTTATATTCGCCTGCTTTATTTATTAATAATTTATTTTTAAAAGTTAAAATTTAATTCATAAATAATTATGATAAATGAAAATTAAATTAAATAAGAAGTTAAAAAAATCTCTAAAAATTATATCATCGAAGAAAAATCCCTAAAAATACTTTCGCGCAAGATAGAAGCTCATGCTTAATATATATAGGTTGATTAATAGGAAAATTACTGATTTGCAGAAAACCTTATAATTAAAACATGTGTCGTAGGAGGATAATGACTAGTAAAGATATGAGAAATCATGAGATATTAGTAATGAAGAAAAATGATAAAGGGTAAGAGATGAGCACAATAATCATAATTGAAAATATGTGAAGAGATAAAATATAAATATAATTGAGTAATGAAAGGGGACTAATAAAAATAAAGATTTAATGAATATATAAGAGTAAAGAGGATATAGGAATGATAAGTTAATGGCGATAATGATGAATAGAGATAACTAAGAATTATGAAATGTGATGATACAAAAATCGTTATATTTTATTTGAGGAGTCTTGTGCGGCATTTAAGGCATTTGGCGTATTCGAGGTGATGATCGATGACAATGATGATGATGATATAAGAAGTTCAGGCAAAGACTTGGTCTTTTGGGAAAGTCCAATTAGAGGTTTGATAACACGATCACGTTGGTGATGAACATCTACACTATTGTTGTTTGTGATTAGTGAAGTTGTTTGGAGTTCATATGTTCATGCATACTTTCTTTTGGAAGTGATAGTAAATATATGCATGAGGATCTCTATGATCTTCTACCTTGTCCTTGGAAGTGTTTTGGTAAGGATCCTTTAACAAGTATAGGAGGTGGCCATGCCCCATATATCTTCTCCTAGTTAAGAGTAGATTGAGTGGGTCACCAGAGAGTGGTGATCCAATTCAAGTGCTCTTATGTAGGGGTGGGAAAAATGAACTATATTGCACTAAGCTGTTAAGAATTTCACTTAACCAAAAAATAGTTTGCATAAACTAAATTAAGTTGTAAACTAGTTTAGGCGTGAACTGAACTTTTTTTTTAATTTTATTGGACTACACTGGACTGGTATATGAGTAAAAGCATGAGTATTCTGGTTCTAAATATATCTGAAAAAAATAAACAAAAAAAAATTATACATTTCCAAGATCACCATCAAGAACTGCAATTTTTGCTTTGTTGATTTTAATAATGTTAGTGACAAATATTGGCACATGAATTTGGCCTCTAGTAGCATAAGTTTTTTTAATAATCCCAAGAGAAAGTATGTTTGCAAGATTCCTCATAAATAACAAAAGCATATTAGCCTTAGGATTTTAAAGTTACAAGTGAAATTCATAAAAGAAAAAGACAGAGTTAGCCCTAGTGCACCGAACAAAGTAGAAAAAAAAAAATGCAAGTTATTTTAAGTTAGTTTATAATGCACTAAACTACATTTTTAAAAGTTCAATTTTAAAAATTTGAACTATAAAGCAATTTAGTTTGTTTTTAATTAAAATAGTTTAGCTTTTCTTAGTTCAATAGTGTGCAGTTAAGTGGCATTTTAGTTCAATGTAGTTAATTTTTCCCACCCTTACTCCTAGGCTACCTCATATTTAGAGTGTCTTTAACAATTTTGTAAATTGGCACCACATGTACATAAAATTAGGAGCATGAGTTTGCACAAGTCCTTAAGGAATTTTAGTGGATGTTTAAGTTGGTGTATTGAATAAAAATGATTTATTGATGTTTGAGTTGACATGAATGATGGTGTGTGTTGTTCTTAGATACTATTTTTATTCTTCATATGTGCTTATACATTTGTGAGGTATAGTCTCAACTCTCACTCCTCTTGTGTTTTTGTTGTTGTTTTTCTTGTTTGGATTAAATGTCGTACAAGAGTTGGTTAGATAGATGAGGTTAAGCCTAAAGGAAATGAAGGTCAAGGCTTTAGTTTTACTTTTATGACCTTATTATGATTAGTGTGACATCAAAGCTAGAGAAAATTTGTTGCTTTGTTTATGTCATTTCGAAAATCATGTTTTAGACTTAGTATTTATTTCATTGCTTTATGTTTTCATTGAGGATTTGTAAAGGTTTCTTTTTGCCTCTGGTTGCAAACTTAATTCCATTTTATTCTCTTGTTAATAATTAAAGGTTATTATGGGTTAAGGAGACATGTGAACCCTTTTACAATGTGACTAAAGAGCTTTGCTTTATCTTAATCTTTTTAATGAGATGTATTTTCATAATAAACATTTTGGAGTAGACAGGTATCATCACTCATCTCTAAATTGCTCCAAATGATGTGTGTTTAATTATAGAGTTCTTAAGTGACAAATTACTGAAAAGTGGATGTATTTTGTTGGTATAGGTAGTACTAATCAATTCCTTTTAAGTCATCATCTACTGTATAATCTCACACATACGACCTCTGTATCCTTCTCCTTTTGGTGTGTCAAGGATGTTACAAACCCACTAGCTTTTGTTTGGTTTCTCGCCAAACCACACTATTTTGGGAGAGAAAACCTACTTTTATACCATTTGTAACATTCCTTAAATTTGATGTCTCAATGGCTCCACTCTACGAAACTTCACACAATAACCCTTTCTGAGATGTTTGACCACCTTTAGGGTTAACTGTGGAGTTCTTAAATGACAAGCTACCAAAAAATAGACACATCTTGTTAGTATATATAATATTAATTAATTTAATTTAAACCATCATCAACTATTCAGTCTCACACATGCTTATTTCAATGTGTCATAGATGTTATAAGTGACAAATAATTAAAGGAATAAAACAAAAACAAAAAAAGAGTAGTTACCTTTTTTTCGTGAGTGATTACATATTTATAATCAATTAAAGATATTATTGCCTTCAGAAAAGTAAAAATTAAAATAAAGGTCATCCCTTTTTTATAGATTTACAACAAATAAATATATTGTATTATGATACAAGATTATTTTTAATTATTGATATTTTATTTTAAAAATATTGAAATTTAATATAAAAATATTATAAATAAATAAATGTTAAAAAATTCATAAAATGCTCTTGTCAAAGAAAAATAGTTAAAAACATTTCTACATGTTTTATTTAATATTTTGGATATAATTATTCTAATTTATATAGAGAGAATTATAGAAGCATAAAAATAGTAGTAAAAGATGTATTAAATATAAAATTATTTTTTTAATTGTTTTTTTAAATCACTCATAACTCTAAATTGAGGTTGTGTTTATGGTTATGACGATGTTGATTGCAATTGTTGCAATATAAAATTATTATATATTTGTATTAAACA